TGTCGCTGGGCAACACGGACTTTCAACTCCCTCCAAAGGTTTTCTATGGGGTTGAGATCTGGAGACTGGCTAGGCCACTCCAGGACCTTGAAATGCTTCTTACGAAGCCACTCCTTCGTTGCCCGGGTGGTATGTTTGGGATCATTGTCATGTTGGAAGACCCAGCTACGTTTCATCTTCAATGCCCTTGCTGATGGAAGGAGGTTTGCACTCAAAATCAAATGTATTGCTCCCACAGTTGATTTGTTCACACCAAGCTACTTGCCTATTGCAGATTCAGTCTTCCCAGCCTGGTGCAGGTCTACAATTTTGTTTCTGGTGTCCTTCGACAGCTCTTTGGTCTTCACCATAGTGGAGTTTGGAGTGTGACTGTTTGAGGTTGTGGACAGGTGTCTTTTATACTGATAACAAGTTCAAACAGTGCCATTGATACAGGTAATGAGTGCAGGACAGAGGAGCCTCTTACAGAAGAAGGTACAGGTCTGTGAGAGCCAGAAATTCTGCTTGTTTGTAGGTGACCAAATACTTATTTTCCACCATAATTTGCAAATAAATTCTTTCCAAATCAGCCAATGTGATTGTCTGGATTTGTTTTCTCATTTTGTCTCTCATAGTTGAGGTCTACCTATGATGCCAATTACAGGCCTCTCTCATCTTTTTAAGTGGGAGAACTTGGTGGCTGACTAAATACTTTTTTGCCCCACTGTAGGTGTGTAAAGTGCTGCGTAAATTGACAGTGTTATATAAGTACCTGAAATAAATAAATAATAAATAAATCCAGTATGTACTGACTACTCAGAGACTAACCTTTCCACCAGGAATTTATAAAACGACCGTGTCAGTAATCTTTGACATTTATATGTTTGGTTGTGTTCTGTTCTTGTACCATACGTGACCATGAATAATTGTGTAAAGAAAAATTTCCCCGGTCATCATATGCGCAGCCTATTGTAAGTCACATGAAAGAAACGCATATCAATCTACTATTTATTTTCTTTTTTTCAATGGGTAGTGAATTAGTGATGTTAAAGTGGACCTTTCACTTGCTTTTCGAGTCTGCATGAAAAAATCAACACATCAAAATATACAGCAACATTATCATTTAAAAAAATCTTCTATCATTAAAAAGCAATTCCAGTAAAATGACTTTGCCTAGGCTGAGATGATGTCATCAGTATTCTGCTGGTCGGAGGACGCATTTCCTCAATCTCTTCCCCCCAGTGATCAGACTGCAACTTCTAAACTTTGCAGCAAGTCAATAGGGAAGAGACTCTAAGGGTGGCTGATCTGTGTCAGACATTTGTGAACAAAGCCAAGAACTGTATAGGCATTGGGATTAACATGACTGTGGCATCTCTAAGCCAGTACCCCAGCAAAGGAAACACGTGTTGATCATTAATGATGCCTGAACAAAAAAGGAGACAAACAGAGTTGAAGGCATTACCTGTAAAGAATACACTTGCATGTTACATGAAAAATATACCTGATAGCAGGCCCCACTTTAAATAGGAGAATGTTCTGTTTTAAAAGCCAGCATATGAGATGATATATCTCCTTAAACATAGCCTGTGTAGACAGTATGACCACTTGCTGGCTTGGCACCATCCACAGACAGCTTAACTCTTCAATAAGACACAGAAGTTGGATCCACCACAATTTTGCTCCAGATGAGTGTGGTACAAAGGATGTTTTTCCAGTCTTTTGAAGTGTACAAAGACAAAGACTTTCTCAACCTTGTTCCTGTCAGAACTAAGGCCGACTGAGTGAACATGGAAAGGGCAGGGAGGGTCTAGCTATGACTGAACTGATTAGCACTAAACAGGAGATGGTTGAACAGAGGGAGATACCAAATACAAAGATAAACAAGTTGTAGTGGCACCAAACTACCCCTAGATGTCAATACATACCAGAACATAATAAGACACATGAAATAACAGTAAAATACATATTGGTGGGACACAACATAGGGCCTGTCTGTTATAATCACCTGGTGGTCACTTTGGTGGTCAATACAAATGCACATATTTACTGGTAGTTCCTGAAAGTGGACTCATTACAATGGCTGTCAGTCTGGACAGTGGAAAGGTCCTCTTTATTCTGGTGGCCAGTATACTCGCTGTTGCTCCTTCGTATTTATAGTATAGATAGAGAGTGTTGTCACCCTAGGACAAAAAGTGGAAACAAAGTAAGAGGGACTTCACCACAGATTACCAAGGTAAGGGGATGTGACACCCACCACTAATGTAATGGAGCACTTCTCCCCAGACCAGTGATGGAGGGAGTTGTCCATGCACCACCAATAGAAGAAGGCACTTCACTGCTGATTACCAAGGTAAAGAGCCACATGCCTACTGACCACCACTGGAATTCACCACCGATGAACAATCACTGACCACCAATGCAAGGGGAACTTCACCAATGACCACCAATGAAATACGGCACTTCATCATGGACCATCAATGGCAGGCATTACTTCACCACTGACCACCACTGAAAGAGGGCATTTCACCACTGACCTTGTAAGAAAGAGCTTCATCAGTGACCTCCAATACAAGGAGGCACATTACTACTGATGACCAATGTTACGATGCACTTTATCAATAACCCCCACAAAAGAGAAAACTTCTCCACTGGCCATCAATCTAAAGAGGCACTTCATCATTGACCACCGTTGGAAGAGGATACTTCACCACTGATCACCAATGTAAGGAAACACTACATCACTGACCACTAATGGAAGAGGGCACTTCACCATTTACCACCAGTGTAAGGAAGCGAGTCTTCACTGATCATCGAGGGAAGGGGGCACTTCACCACTGAACACCACTGGAATAGGGCACTTCTCTACTGCCCATCAATGTAAAGAGACACTTCATCAATGACTGCCAATGGAAGAGAGCACTACACTGTTGACAACTAATGTAAGGAAGCGTTTAAGCACTAATCACCTATGTAAGGGGGCACTTCACCACTGACCACCAATATAAGGATTCACTTCACCACCAACCATCACAACTGCACTGTATTAAGGAGAGGATGAATGGGGCCATTTATTGTGAGATTTTGAGCAACAACCTCCTTCCCTCAGTCAGAGCATTGAAGATGGGTCATGGCTGGGTCTTCCAACATGACAACGACCCGAAGCACACAGCCAGGAGAACCAAGGAGTGGCTACGTAAGAAGCATATCAAGGTTCTGGAGTGGCCTAGCCAGTCTCCAGACCTAAATCCAATAGAACATCTTTGGAGGGAGCTGACACTCCGTGTTGCTCAGCGACAGCCCCAAAACCTGACAGATCTAGAGGAGATCTGTGTGGAGGAGTGGGCCAAAATCCCTGTTGCAGTGCAAACCTGGTCAGGAACTACAGGAAACGTCTGACCTCTGTAATTGCAAACAAAGGCTTCTGTACCAAATATTAACACTGATCTTCTCAGGTGTTCAAATACTTATGTTCAGCAGTGCAAGACAAATACATTCTTTACAAATCATACAATGGGATTTCCTGATTTTTTTTTTTAATTCTGTCTCTCAGAGTGGGAATGCACCTACAATGTGAATTTCAGACCCCTCCATGATTTCTAAGTGGGAGAACTTGCAAAATCGCAGGGTGTTCAAATACTTCTGTTGCTCACTGTAAGTGTTGACCACCACTGTAAGGGGGCACTTCGGCATTGATAACCAATGTAAAGAGGCACTTCATCACTGACCACCAATGGACGAAGGCACTTCACCACAGACAACTAATGTAAGGTAGCACTTCATCATTTTCTGTCTGTCCTGCTGAGCTTTGCTATTTATGCAAAAGTGACCCTGGTGGCTGTAAGCCTCTGTTGGGGTTCAGAGCCATCAAAATCCTGGCTACAGCATTGGGTACTGAGGTGATCACGGACTTTCTGTAGGGACAGAAAGATCAGGGGATCTGCTGCGGGGTACCTGGAGGCAGAGGAGACATCAGACTTCTCATGGACCCATGATGCTTCCATAAGTGCATCTGTAGCTGCCTCAGTACTATCCCACTGAGATGTGAATTAGCAAAGTGCAAAAAGCAAAAAAATTAAACTATAATAAAAAAAAATGTAAAACATTTACAAGACTTCCCAATCTCCTACTCCACCCACATAACCGCCTAGGCGAAGTCACCTAATTGGAGCTCAAGTACTGCTTTGTAATACGATACACGATATGGCCTTTTCGAAAAAAGGATACTCTTGCTCAGGGGCGGACTGACAACTCATGGGGTCCCCGGGCAATAGGGGATCATGGGGCCCCTGTGTCCTTGCCCAAACTCAAAAAAGCCTATGAAAAAGGTACCAGGGGCATCTCATGGGGCCCCCTACTGACCCCGGGCCCTCGGGCAGTACCCAAGTTTCTAAATGGTCAGTCTGCCCCTGCGTCTTGCTGTATATTGTGATATGCAGGAAATGTATTCATTCAGACTTATAAAGTTATCATATTGTCCACTTTAATAAAGGCTGAAACCCGTTTGGATGAGGCCAACATTAGCAGAATATTGTTGCTTGCATTATACGATTTTATGTGTGACCTTTTGCACAGTAATTCATTTATTAAAAACAGAGATAGCATCAGTATGCGTCTCTGCGGGACAGGGAGGAGGCGATATGTCACGGTTCATACAATGAACAGACAATTATCAGGACAGGAAGGAGGATGAGTATATAAATTGCCCAGTACATGCAATGAGCAGACGGGGCAGCAGTAAGGAGAGGAAGAAGGGCGAGTATATAGATAGAGTCTTGTATGCAATGATCAGGCAGAGCAGGGAGACGGGAAGGAATGACCATGTAGATGTCCCAGTGCATACACTGAATGGACACAATGGTGGGGAGTGCTGGGAAAAAACTAAATTTCAGTTTGAAGATTTCACACCGGATGCTACCAACGGGCACAGCAGCTACAGCCTGGGGAGGGTAGTGTGTGTTATCACAGGGGCCTCCCGGGGGTTTGGCAGGGGCCTGGCATGGGAACTGTGTTCTAGAGTGATGCCAGGCTCTGCCCTCCTGCTGGTGGCCCGCACAGAGCAGGCGCTGAGTATGTTGGCCGAGGAACTGACACTCCAGTACCCAGATACTGAGGTGAGATGGGTGGCAGAAGATCTGGGCACAGCAGACGGGGTGAAGTGGACAGTACAAGCTGCACAGGCGCTGAATGGACAGAACGCACCACAAAGGATCCTCATTGTCAATAACGCAGGTAAAGACATAATGTCACATAGAGCTGCCAATATCATAAAATTTAAAAAAAACATTGTTGCTCAAAGGACAAATATTGCCAAAATATGATATTCTGATAACTTTTTCAAATATTACTGCTTAAGTGAATTTTACAGTTCTTTCAGGGACAGAGGAAGTTGATTTTTTTTTTTTTTTCATGGAAGATTTAAAAGTATATAAAATCAAAAATGTCTTTAGTTGTAGAACAGGAGGCATCATTCGATCATCCCAAAGGGACACAGACAGCAAACAAATCTTTAACTACCCACATATTAATACACACAAGGGGTGGCAAACTCCTCGTGCAAGGAGTCTTGAAATGCATTAGTTTCCGACCAGACGGTTCCGAGATGGGATGCATTGTCCAAGGCTGAAACATTCATGCTAAACGCCTGCTGTTTTTTATTGTTTGTGAATATTTGTCTCTAAGGCTTAAATAGATTTTATGGAGGTAATGCATGAGGAGTTTGTACCCTCTCGTGTGTGTTTTTACAGTTCATTGGAATTTCCCCAATCCGTGAAGGGCGGCACCCGAGGAAGCAGTACATACCATAACGTATTTTGAAGCAACTTGAGTTGAGCACTGGAGTGTTTTTTCGAGGCCTGAAGCTTGTTCTGTATGGCTACTCTGTAGCTGTCCATGTTTATTGTTGAACCACACAATCTGTTTAGACGTATAGAAATCTTGACTTGTGTTGGGTCACATTAGATCCAGTCCTACCACAAACACTGGATGGCCTTTCTACAATCCAATATGACCAGCAGGTCCTTCAAGACTAGAATTTAAGAGGTTTAAAGGTTGTAGACTGGACATTCTAGAAATTTAGAGGTGGATTGAAGCAAGGAGATGGGTCTTACATTGTTCAGACTGGTTGGGTCCAGTGAGGGCTTTTAAGTATGGATGTGGCATGTTTTAGAGGGGAGGGGAAGATGCCAGTAGAAAGGGGGAGATTGAAGATGTGAGTAAAGCCCCATACACACAATAAGAACATCTGATGAATGATCCTCCTTTTCATTTTTTGCATGGTAGTCTCATATCAAAAATGAAGAGGTTACTCAAGTTACGAAAATTCTCATATGACAGACTAAAAATTTGAAAGTGATGTATTGTATTTATATTGTATTTTTCAGGAGAAAAATGTACAAAAATCGTACGATCTGGTATTGTATAAGAAAAATTTTCATGCTTGTCCCTTTGAATAATTTTGGACAAAAGCTGTGTACTAACGATCAGATTATCGTTCAATCTCTGCGAATGCGGTACTTTTCGTACGATTTTCTGATCCTGTGTAATAGGCTTTAGAGCAGGGATCTCCAAACTTTCTATACAAAGGGTCGGTATACTGTCCTTCAGACTTTAGGGGGGCCAAAGTGCCCAGTGGGAGTAGAAAATGTCCCAGCATCAGGAGTAAAAAAAATTACATAGTGCTTGTAGTCAGTAGAAGGAGGAATAGTGTCCAGTCATTGGTATTAGTGGGAGGAATATTGCCCCATCATTGGTATTAGTGGGAGGAATAGTGCCCCATTATTGGTATCAGTGGGAGGAATAGTGCCCCATCATTGGTATCAGTGGGAGGAATACTGCCCCATCATTGGTATCAGTGGGAGGAATAGTGCCCCATCATTGGTATCAGTGGGAGGAATAGTGCCCCATCAATGGTGTCAGTGGGAGGAATAGTGCCCCATCATTGGTATCAGTGGGAGGAATAGTGCCTCATCATTGGTATCAGTGGAGGAGTAGTGCCCCATCATTGGTATCAGTGGGAGGAATAGTGCCCCATATTTGGTACTAGTAGGAGGAATACTGCCCCATCATTGGTATCAGTGGGAGGAATAGTGCCCCATCAATGGTGTCAGTGGAAGGAATAGTGCCCCATCATTGGTATTAGTGGGAGGAATAGTGCCCCATCATTGGTATCAGTGGAGGAATAGTGCCCCATCATTGCTGTCAGTGGGAGGAATAGTGCCCCATCATTGGTATCAGTGGGAAAATAGTGCCCCATCATTGGTACTAGTGGGAGGAATAGTGCCCCATCATTGGTATCAGTGGGAGGAATAGTGCCCCATCATTGGTATCAGTGGGAGGAATAGTGCCCCATCATTGGTATCAGTGGGGGGAATAGTGCCCCATCATTGGTATCAGTGGAGGAATAGTGCCCCATCATTGGTATCAGTGGGAGGAATAGTGCCCATCATTGGTATCAGTTGGGGGAATAGTGCCCCATCATTGGTATCAGTGGGAGGAATAGTGTCTCATCATTGGTATCAGTGGGAGGAATGGCGCCCCGTCATTGGTGTCAGTGGGAGCAATAGTGCCCCATCATTGGTATTAGTGGGAAGAATAACATCCCATCATTGGTATCAGTGGGAGGAACAGTGCCCCATCATTCGTATTAGTGGGAGGAACAGTGCCCCATCATTGGCGGTAGAGGGAGAAATAGTGCCCCATCATTGGTATTAGTGGGAGGAACAGTGCCCCATCATTGGTATTAGTGGGAGGAATAGTGCCCCATCATTGGTGTCAGGGGGATGATTAGCGCCCCATCATTGGTGTCAGGGGGATGAATAGTGCCTCATCATTGGTTTCAGGGGGAGGAACAGTGCCCCATCATTGGCGGTAGAGGGAGAAATAGTGCCCCGTCATTGGTGTCAGGGGGAGGAATAGTGCCCTGTCATTGGTGTCAGGGGGAGGAATAGTGCCCCATCATTGATGACAGTGGGAGGAACAGTGCCCCATCATTGACTGTAGGGGGAAGAATAGTGCCCCGTCATTGGTATCAGAGGAAGGCATAGTGCCCAATCCTTGGTATTAGTTTGAGGAATAGTACCTAATTGTTTATATCAGTGGGAGGAATAGTGCCCCATCATTGGTGTCAGTGGAAGAAAAATGCCCCATAGTTGGTGCTAGTGGAAGAAATGGTGCCTCATTGTTTGTGTCAGTGGAAGGAACAGTACGCTGAGGGCCGGATAGAGGCAAGCAAAGGGCTGCATTCAGCCCACAGGCCGCAGTTCAGAGACCACTGCTTCAGAGAGTATGAAATAGAGCAAGAGGTTGATCTGAGTACTTGTGAGAGAATGGGGTCCAGTGGACAAATGGTTAGGTGGGCACCTGAGAAGAGTTTGGCAACATCCTCTGTAGTAAGAAGGTTAAAAGAGGAAAATATTGAATGTGTTGGTAGACATGGGGGTTGATTTACTAAAGGCAAAGAAACTGTGCACTTTGGAGCTTAGTAAATGAGGGAAAGCTCTATTGACCTCCATCATCCAATCATGTGCAAGCAAAAATGCTGTTTTTTAAATTTTCCTTGCATGTGATTGGGTATTCTTTGCAAAGTGAAGCTTCACCTCATTTACTAAGTTCTGGAGCAACTGTACTTTCAAAGTGCACAGTCTAGTTATTGATGATGTCACATGCCAATATTTTTGGTATTCCCAACCCCTCCCCCCCCCCGTTCTTGGCTTATGGAAACTTTGATGTTGGAGGTATTGGAGGATATGGATCATGTGCCACCTTGCCCTTGCTTGTCATGGTGACTTGCAGTAGACACCTGGGTCTGCACTCTTGACCTAGAACACAGTAGGCTCAAGTAAACTATACTCCTTTAAGCCCCTCCTTCTGATAACACAGTTTGGCCACACCCAGCTTTCACATACTTGGTCAAGGCTGAGCTGATGGGAGAGCTTGCCCTTACACCTCCTGTCCTGTTTCTCCTCAAGATGGTGACAGGATATAGGAAGGCATGGAGTGGCACCATGGCCTGGTTGGAGATCTTGGATGGAAGCCATTTGCAGCGCATGACAAGCAGCAGGCAGGCTGATGGACTGCAAGATGCAGAGACATAGCAGCAGGTGCAGAACAGCAGGCAGCAAGCAAGCTGGCCAGCAGGTGGATGCAGGACCTCGGGTGGTCAAGTTGGTAGCGGCTGGGCCGAAGAGGTACAGAATCAGGATCAAAGTTGGAGTCAGGACAGGCCGGGAACGGTACCAAGCAAGCAGAGAAGGTAAGGCAAAAGGCAAAGTCAGGTCAGAAGCCGGAGTCAGCAACAAGGTGTCAGGAACGAGCAAAGTCAAGCAGACTGGGTAGATACAGGAACAAGCACAGGATCAAGTCACAGGCAGGAGAAGCTGATGACCACTCAGCAATCCTTTGGGCACAAGTGCAGCTTCAATTATGCAAGTGGGTGCCAATTACCCACATGGAAGAAAAAATATATTTGAAATACAAAAATTTTGGCCATATTCAATATATTTAAAAAATAAATAAATATATATATATGTATATATATATATATATATATATATATACTGCATCTTGAAATGTATTTTTTATATATTACAAAATATATGAAAAATAATTTTTAAAATATATTCTTCAGATTTTTTTTATCGTATAAAAAAGTCGTTTTAACATCAATTTTTACATATATTTGTAATGCATTCCAAAACTGTAGATTAAATGTATTTTTAAAGATACACAGTATATTTGAAAATGTATTTTTAAAAATATTATTCATATATTTTGTAATAAAAACGCATTTCAACATATATTTTAAAATATTCTTCCCAAATATATTGAGATATATTTGAAATACTACAATTGTGGCCGTATTCAATATATATATATACATATATATATACATATATATACATATACATATACACACTGTATATACATATACACTCTGTACTGTATATCTTTAAAAATACATTTAATCTACATTTTTGGAATGCATTTACAAATATATGTAAAAATATATGTTAAAATGACTTTTTTATATGTTAAAAAAAGCCTGAAGAATATATTTTAAAATATATATACAGTCATGGCCGAAATTGTTGGCACCCTTGATATTTCTCCAGGAAATCATGTATTTCTCACGAAACGTATTGCATTAACACATGTTTTGCTATACACATGTTTATTCCCTTTGTGTGTATTGGGACAAAACAAAAAAAGGGAGGAAAGAAAGCAAATTCGACATAATGTCACACAAACCTCCAAAAATGGGCTGGACAAAAGTATTGGCACCCTTTCACAACTGCGGATAAATAAGAATGTTACAAGCATGTGATGCTCCTGTAAACTCACCTGGGGCAAGTAACAGGTGTGGGCAATATAGAAATCACACCTGAAAGCAGATAAAAAGGAGAGACGTTCACTTAACCTTTGCATTGTGTGTCTGTCTGTGCCACACTAAGCATGGACAACAGAAAGAGGAGACGAGAACTGTCTGAGGACCTGAGAACCAAAATTGTGGCAAAATATCAACAATCTCAAGGTTACAAGTCCATCTCCAGAGAACTAGATTTGCCTTTGTCCACAGTGCGCAACATTATCAAGAAGTTTGCAACCCATGGCACTGTAGCTAATCTCCCTGGTCGTGGACGGATGAGGAAAATTGATGAAAGATTGCAACGCAGAATAGTCCGGATGGTGGATAAGCAGCCCCAAACATGTTCCAAAGACATTCAAGCTGTCCTGCAGGCTCAGGGAGCATCAGTGTCAGCGCGAACTATCCGTCGACATTTAAATGAAATGAAACGCTATGGCAGGAGACCCAGGAGGACCCCACTGCTGACACAGAGACATAAAAAAGCAAGACTACAGTTTGCCAAAATGTACTTGAGTAAGCCAAAAGCCTTCTGGGAAAACGTCTTGTGGACAGATGAGACCAAGATAGAGCTTTTCGGTAAAGCACATCATTCTACTGTTTACCGAAAACGGAATGAGGCCTACAAAGAACAAAACACAGTACCTACGGTAAAATATGGTGGAGGTTCAATGATGTTTTGGGGTTGTTTTGCTGCCTCTGGCACTGGGTGCCTTGACTGTGTGCAAGGCATCATGAAATCTGAGGATTACCAAAGGATTTTGGGTCGCACTGTAGGGCCCAGTGTCAGAAAGCTGGGTTTGCGTCCAAGATCCTGGGTCTTCCAGCAGGACAATGACCCCAAACATACGTCAAAAAGCACTCAGAAATGGATGGCAAAGAAGCGCTGGAGAGTTCTGAAGTGGCCAGCAATGAGCCCAGATCTAAATCCCATTGAACACCTGTGGAGAGATCTTAAAATTGCTGTTGGGAAAAGGTGTCCTTCCAATAAGAGAGACCTGGAGCTGTTTGCAAAGGAAGAGTGGTCCAAAATTCCGGGTGAGAGGTGTCAGAAGCTTATTGATGGTTATAGGAAGCGACTGATTTCAGTTATGTTTTCCAAAGGGTGTGCAACCAAATATTAAGTTAAGGGTGCCAATACTTTTGTCCAGCCCATTTTTGGGGTTTTGTGTGACATTATGTCATATTTGCTTTTCTGCCTCTGTTTTATATTTGTTCCAATACATACAAAGGGAATAAACATGTGTATAGCAAAACATGTGTTAATGCAATACCTTTTTTGTGTGAAATACTTGATTTTCAGGAAAAATATCAAGGGTGCCAACAATTTCGGCCATGACTGTATATATAAATACTTTTCATATATTTTGTAACATATAAAAAAACACATTTCAACATGCAGTGTGTATGTGTATATATATATATATATATATATATATATATATTACACAGTGAGGAACAGAAGTATTTGAACACCCTGCGATTTTGCAAGTTCTCCCACTTAGAAATCATGGAGGGGTCTGACATTCACATTGTAGGTGCATTCCCACTCTGAGAGACAGAATTTAAAAAACAAATTCAGGAAATCACATTGTATGATTTTTAAAGAATGTATTTGTCTCGCACTGCTGAACAGAAGTATTTGAACACCTGAGAAAATCAGTGTTAATATTTGGTACAGAAGCCTTTGTTTGCAATTACAGAGGTCAAATGTTTCCGGTAGTTCTTGACCAGGTTTGCACTGCAACAGGGATTTTGGCCGACTCCTCCACACAGATCTCCTCTAGATCTGTCAGGTTTCTGGCTGTCGCTGAGCAACATGGAGTTTCAGCTCCCTCCAAAGATGTTCTATTGGATTTAGGTCTGGAGACTGGCTAGGCCACTCCAGAACCTTGATATGCTTCTTACGGAGCCACTCCCTGGTTCTCCTGGCTGTGTGCTTCAGGTCGTTGTCATGTTGGAAGACCCAGCCACGACCCATCTTCAATGCTCTGACTGAGGGAAGGAGGTTGTTGCTTAAAATCTCACAATAAATGGCCCCATTCATCCTCTCCTTAATACAGTGCAGTCGTCCTGTCCCCTTCACAGAAAAGCACCCCCAAAGCATGATGTTACCACCCCCATGCTTCACAGTAGGGATGGTGTTCTTGGGATGCAACTCATCCTTTTTCCTCCAAACATGACAAGTGAAGTTTAGACCAAAAAGTTCTACTTTGGTCTCATCTGACCACATGACTTTCTCCCATGCCTCCAATGGATCATCCAGATGGTCATTGGCAAACATCAGACGGGCCTGGACATGTGATGACTTGAGCAGGGGAACCTGCCGTGCAATGCATGATTTGAAACCATGACGGCGTAGTGTTCTACCGACAGTGACCTTTGAAACTGTGGTCCCAGCTCTCTTCATGTCATTGAGCAGCTCCTCCCTTGTAGTTCTGGGCTGATTCCTCACCTTTCTTATCATCAGTGATACCCCACGACGTGAGATCTTGCATGGAGCCCCAGTCGGAGGGAGACTGACAGTCATCTTTAGCCTCTTCCATTTTCTAACAATTGCTCCAACAGTTGATCTATTTTCACCAAGCTGCTTGGCAATTGCCCCGTAGCCCTTTCCAGCCTTGTGGAGGTCCACAATTTTGTCTCTGGTGTCTTTTGACAGCTCTTTGGTCTTGCCCATGGTAGTAGTTGGCGTCTGACTGACTGTGGGGTGGACAGGTGTCTTTAAAGAGCTCAGACAGGTGCTACTAAGTTAGATTAATGAGTGGAGTAGAGGTGGACTTTTTAAAGGCACAGTAACAGGTCTTTGAGAGCCAGAATTCTTGCTGTTTCTTAGGTGTTCAAATACTTCTGTTCAGCAGTGCAAGACAAATAAATTCTTTAAAAATCATACAATGTGATTTCCTGCATTTTTTTTTTTAATTCTGTCTCTCGGAGTGGAAATGCACCTACAATGTGAATTTCAGACCCCTCCATGATTTCTAAGTGGGAGAACTTGCAAAATCGCAGGGTGTTCAAATACCTCTGTTCCTCACTGTATATATATATATATATATATATATATATATATATATATATATATATATATATATACTGTGTGTCCATAATGTAAAGCACTGAGCAAACCGTTGGCACTATACAAATCCTGTATATTTATAATAATAAATATATATATATATATATATATATATATATATATACTGTGTGTGTGTGTGTATGTATATATATATATATATATATATATATATATATATATTTTTTTTTTTTTCTTAAAATATATTGAATACAGCCAAAATTGTAGTATTTCAAATATATGTTAATATATTTGTAAAGAATATTTTTAAAATGTATTTAAAATATATTTTTCTTCCATGTGGGTACCCACGCTTAGCTTAGGCTAATGTACATGATTTAGGACGCATCTAGGTCTCACTCTAAAAGTCCTATTGTGTGCATGCGCATATCTTCGCATACAACTGCGCATACGATTTCCTTGACACCAGCATTTGGTGCGGAACGCTTCACATGCCACAATTGTCTCCCTTTCTCTGCCCCTCTTCTACAGTCATTTATTTATTTCAGGTACTTATATAGTGCTGTCAATTTATGCAGCACTTTACATATATATTGTACATTCACATCAGTCCCTAACCCTCAAGAGGCGTACAATCTAAGGTACATTAAAAGTGAACGTGGTCTGTAGGGTGTCCCTGGATTTCATTTTAAAAATGTGGTCACCTTATTGTACAGATACAGAAGTCTGCGCTGAACATGGTTGGCTGTCATTTTTGGGAACCTTAAAGACTATTCCTGATCACAGGTCTGTGTCTTCTTCTTCCTCCACAGGGTCTCTGGGTGATGTTACCAAGTCTTTCGTGGACTTCACAGACCCTCTAGAAGTGGACAGATATTTCTCTTTCAACGTGTCATCCGCACTGTGTCTGACCTCTTCCCTGCTGAAAGTCTTCCAAGGACGTCCGGGGGTACAGCGACTGGTGATCAATGTCACATCTGTGGCAGCTCAGCAGCCATTTAAGTCCTGTACACTGTACTGTGCTGGGAAGGCAGCTCGGGAAATGATGTTCAAGGTGCTGGCCGAGGAGGAGACAGATGTCCGCGTACTCAACTACGCACCAGGTAACTTCTCATTTCAGTAAAATATAATGTGCCAAACATTTAGACTGCATTCACACCTGAGTGTTGCATTTGTGAGCGTTTTTTTCAGGTGTTTTGTCGTGCGTTTGTATGTGCATTTTTGTTTGGCATTTTTAAAGGAGAAGTTCACCTTTCATAATACGTTACATGTTATATAACCAGGAGCGGATTGACCATTCGGGCACTCGGGCATTGCCCAAGGGCCCGGGGTCAGTAGGGGGCCCCATGAGATGCCCCTGGTACCTTTCATAGGCTTTTTTGGGTGTGGTTTGAGTATGGGCGCCCAGGGGCCCCATGAGTTGTCAGTCCGCCCCTGTGTTACACCCATATTCAGGGTGTAACATGTTATGAATAGACCGGCCCCCATTCCCTCCCGCTCCTCTGATTTGACAGCTAGCTAGCTGTCAAAATGTAAACTTTTTTTAAAAAATGTGGCCATGTGGGACGCCGCCCCCAGCCATGTCACTCATTCACAGTCCTCTGTGAATGAGAAACTACAAGTCCCAGCAGCCATAGCAGCTGTCGGCTTGTAGTTTTCGATGATCTACCACAGCACCTTGGAGATCCGTGGTAGTTCATTGATTCTTCCAGTCAGTATATCTGCTTGCCCATACATCCTGTACGGGCAAGCAGATATACTGACAGGTCTGCAGGAGACCTGCATGGCACCAACGATCTGCTTATTACTGGTGCAATGGTTTACAGGCTCCTGCAACAAAAAATAATAAAAGCACATTTTTTTAACCTGCAAAAAATGTGCATTTATTATTTTTTAGCAGAAGGTAAAATATAGGGAAAAATAATATAAAATATTATTTTATAATAACACTATAAATAGACTTTTTAGCTTTTTTAGCTTTTCCATCAGCTTTCATGTAATGTTTTATTATTATTAGTTTATTATTTTTTTTTTTTTTTAGGGTAAGGGGTTAGAGTTAAGGTTAAGTGTTAGATTTAGGATTGGGGATGAGTTTAATATTCTATTTATTGTCTTATTATTATTTATTTTTTATTTATTTATTTGATTAGGGTGTTAAATAATAATAATTATTATTATTATTATTTTAATGTTACATAGCTACATAGTTAGTCTGGCTGAAAAAAAGACAAACGTCCATCCAGTTCAACCATAGGAAAAAAAAAAAGTTATAATCCTATACCCACAGTTGATCCAGAGGAAGGCAAAAAAACCCAGCAAAGCATGATCCAATTTGCACCTACTGGGAAAAAATTCCTTCCTGATCCCCCGAGAGGCAATCGGATATTCCCTGGATCAACTTTGGAGAGTGCAGGGAAGGGGGGGAGCATTGACGCGTTCCTGCTCCCACTTCCGCTGTGGCGATCAGAAGTGGAAGTTGTCCTCCCCCTTCCCTCCCTGTAGTCTTCTTGGATACGTGACAAGTCCCAGCAGACTACGGGACCATTCACAAAGCGCAGCACTACTCACGCATGTGCAGTGGGCACCCGACTGTGAAGCCACAAGCCACACTGAAGATGCCGGTGCTGGAAACACAGGACGGCCAACTAAATGGACTGCGGGGAGGACACCATGGGATCGAGGGGCAGGTGAGTGGCTGTTTTTTCGAAGTCAGCAGCTACAGTATTTTTTAGATGCTGACTTTTGTTTTTTTACATTTTCACTGGAACTTCCGCTTTAAGTCCTTGTGCCAATTCTCCATCTTGTGAGCTTCAAAGATGGGAAACCGACCCCAGTCCCTCCCCTAAAGGGAAGAGCTCGAACAGGGGCGGACTGACAACTCATGGAGCCCCCAGGCAATAGGGGATCATTGGGCCCCTGTGTCCTGGCCCACACTCAAACCACACCCAAAAAAGCCTATGAAAGGTACCAGGGACATCTCATGGGGCCCCCTACTGACCCCCGAGTTCCCCAATGGTCAGTCCGCCCCTGAACTGGAATGAGATCCCTTCTCTGTCTCAAACTCTCCACCAGAAGCTTCAAGCCCAAGACTCCATCAACCATAGAAAGGCAAACCCACAATGCAAAAAAAAGGAGGAGCAACCCTGAAAGGGAACTCCGCCTGTCTAAACTCCAATTGGCATAAATGCAGCCATGATGCGCATGCACAAAAAAAGAGATTGACAGATCCATGTTGGGGAGATGATTACTGGACTTAAGTATAAGCCTGGGCTGCCTGCATTATGAAATGACAACCTAAATTGTAACTAAAAGCAATATTTTTTTAAGTCTTGGATAGAGTAGGGAGGAATTTGAACATCTGTCAAGTTTTTATTTCTACCTGTGCAACCATTGGGAAGATTCACCCTATTTGTCATGTTTACTGTTATCAAGGAAGTGAAAGCAAAAAGGCAGTAATAGAGGGGGAAATCTTCCACTAGTTCTGGTGACACCCTGGGATTCCCTTACTTTGGACAGATTTCCTCTCACTTCCTGTTTTGGCTATGGGACAGGAAGTAAGGGGAAGTCTCCCCTATGTTACACAGATAGCAAAAAAAAAAATGATGGGGCTTATATTTCTCACTTACTCTATACAAAATGAAAAAAAGTTTTATCTTTAAACATATTACATCCAGACATTGCTGCAGTGCACCCATTTCACCATGCTTCCTTTTGTTAGTCAACTGGGAACTCCTTTTTCTTACTTCTTTCCAATGCAGAACATGTGTTTCTAAGCACACCCAGGCTACTCCTTGCCTCTCACCTATATAAATCCTTGTGTATCCTCATGTCACTTCATCATGACCACAAATCTGCCTTGGATGATGACGATCCATCAGGCAGAAGGAGAGCCATCTACTCAGCATGGATTCCAGAAGCAGGTCCACTAGAGGGGTCACCAGCAGGAGGAAAGACTCCCTCATTCCTCTATATAGATCTGTAGTTATCACTAGAGGGGTCACCAGCAGAAGGAGGTCCTGATTCTTCTAAATAGATCTTTATATCACTAGAGGGATCACCAGCAGGAGGAAGGAAGTCCTGATTCCTCTATATAGATCTTTATATCACTAGAGGGGTCACCAGCAGGAGGAAGGAGGTCCTGATTCCTCTATATAGATCTTTATATCACTAGAGGGGTCACCAGCAGGAGGAAGGAGGTCCCGATTCCTCTATATAGATCTTTATATCACTAGAGGGGTCACCAGCAGGAGGAAGGAGGTTCCGATTCCTCTATATAGATCTTTATATCACTAGAGGGGTCACCAGCAGGAGGAAGGAGGTCCCGATTCCTCTATATAGATCTTTATATCACTAGAGGGGTCACCAGCAGGAGGAAGGAGGTCCCAAATCCTCTATATAGATCTTTCGTTATCACTAGAGGGGTCACCAGGAGGAGGAAGGAGGTCCTGATTCCTCTATAATCTTTAGTTATCACTAGAGGGGTCACCAGCAGGAGGAAGGAGGTCCTGATTCCCCTATATAGATCTTTAGTTATCACTAGAGGGGTCACCAACAGGATGAAGGAGGTCCTGATTCCTCTATATATAGATCTTTATATCACTAGAGGGGTCACCAGCAGGAGGAAGGAGGTCCTGATTCCTCTATATAGATCTTTATATCACTAGAGGGGTCACCAGCAGGATGAAGGAGGTCCTGATTCCTCTATATAGATCTTTATATCACTAGAGGGGTCACCAGCAGAAGGAAGGAGGTCCTGATTCCCCTATATAGATCTTTAGTTAGACCTCATTTAGAATACTGTGTCCAATTCTGGAGACCTCACTTACAAAAAGATATTGATAATATAGAACAAGTCCAGAGACGGGTTACAAAAATGGTACAATGTCTGGAGGATAAAACATATCAAGAGATGCTTCAGGAACTTAATATGTACAGTTTGGAGGAAAGGAGGGAGAAGGGTATCCAATCAATGCTTGGAATAAACTTCCAGCAGAGGTAGTCAGTCAACAGTAAGTAGATTCAGACATGCTTGGAACAAACATAGATCTATACTCAGACACAAAAGTTAACAAAAAAATAAATACAAAAACATGTATACAAAACATGGCACTCGATGGACCACTTGGTCTTTCTACTTGAGCTTTCCTTTCTATAAACCCAGTTTTATGGCCTTTCCGCCCACTTAATGTGCTCTCTTTTCCCCTACCCTACAGGGCCCCTGGATAGCGCCATGCAGGAGCAGATGCGAAGTCATACAGCAGACCCCGATGCCCGTCTTCATTTTATTAGTTTGCAGAAAAGCGGACAACTTGTTCCTTGCCACACCTCTGCGAAGAAAATGCTGGACATTGTCGTGGGAGACGCCTTTGAATCTGGCAAGACTGTTGATTTTTTCGATTAGCATTAGTCAGTTGATAAGTGCCAGTTGTGTGGCTTCTCTATCTGGTTATAAAAATCTCAGCTTACACTGTCTAGTATATCAAATAGGCATGCGCTAAATATATATATCACCAAATAAATGACGTCGTGGTGACAAAACGCGTTGGGCGTGGCCTACTCGATGCTGACGTCAGGATGTTCTGTTCCCAATGTGTGTTGGAGGTGATCCGCGGTGAGCGGGGATCTTCGCTTGCTCAGTTGCTGTGTATCGCTGATTAAGCTGGTGTCTGTCTGGACACCTTTTTTGTGAGTTCCTTGGAAAATTTATTAAATATATAATTTTAAAAAAACGTATTGCACCATTATGTTTTTTTTTCTTTTTGTCCCTGAGTGCACCTCATGCATTTTGGAGAGATGGATTTGAATGGAGAGATATAATATGAGATCTCTGGCTGCAGAGTATTGCTTCTGGTAGTGGTATGCTGTTCTCTATGCCATTATTGATCATCAGGATTTGATTATTTATTACATCTAATACCTGGATATCATTTCACCCATCGCTCCCAGAGCACACGTGCTATTGCTGGTCTATAATCTGATCAGCATTTAGCTCTGGTGAGTTTATTTAATTCATTTGGTGGTGGATTATTCATAAATTCACAAAGGATTTTTGATTGATTTTTTTGAACTTGCACAGATTTAATATGGACACTTATTTATTTGGTGATATATATATTTAGCGCATGCCTATTTGATATATTGTTGATTTTGCCAAATTTATTATATATAATTTTTGGTGGGGTGTTGCTACTATATACACAGTTTTATTTGATATATATATATTTTTTATTGGCGCTTTTAGTGTCTATGGGCTTTCTGTACAGCTCCAAGTGTTCACTTGTGACTGTGGGTGCTGTGCAGTTGGCATGCATGCGCCTCTTTCCTGTATTGGCAAGGTCTTATAAGACCGGAATAAGCATCCTGAACATATTTTGGTTGAACAACAGTATCACAGTTCAGATACATACTGTATATGTGAACTGTCTTATTTGCCAAAGGATTTGTAATTATGTCCAGTCAGTCAGTCAGTCCCCAGATTACAGAAGGAGCCAAAACTAAATTTACATAGTAGCCTAACTGATTATCATTAATCAGTTTCTTCCCATTTTTAGTATACTGGGACAAGGATCCTTTCCATGTTATGAGACTCAACTTCCTGGTATAAAAGTAGAGTATATATAGCAGTGCTTTGGCATTCTCAGAAATGGGTAAATCGCCTAGGACACCTAATAGGCAAGTTTTGGGATGTGACATATTCGGAAGTTCTAGAGCTGAAGAGACTAGATAACTACCCATAACCGAAAGGTCAGCAGTATCTTCACATCCCAAAAAGCATGCAGCAGTAGTGCATAGGCCCATTTTATACAATCTAATCAGAGAATATGAGGAAACAATTTCAGTTGTATCACTTTTTCCCTTGAGGAGATCACTGAGCCTTTATAAGTTTCTTCAAATTCCAATCAGTCTTGGTTGGTAAGTTGAAGAACAGGCGAGGAGTTGAACCTGTTGACGTCTGCCTCTAGAGATAGCAGTGAGTGTGGAGTAGCTGTGGAGACTAATCCAGTAATATCTGGTCTTCTTAAGAGTTTTTCAAAGGAAGTAACAATTGTAGGATTATTATAAGCTCTGAATTGCATACAGATTTCATAGTGGAGCTGGTAATAGTAAAATAAAAAAAAAGGAAAGTTCAAATTTCTCTCTTAATTGGAGGAATGACTTAAATTCTTACGTAAAATACAAATTGCACAAAAATGTTATGCCTTGAGAAGACCAACTCTAAGCATCTGCGATAGTTAGGAGTTCTTGGAAAGAGGTGTTTGACCACTAGGACCTATATGGTGCCCCTCCTTCTTGCTTGCATCCAGTGCACGAGCCAATCACTGGTCAAACGTGAGATGCTCCAAATGGGTGTCCTACTCCATGTACAGTATTAGCTCTAGTTTCAGAAATAGGCTAATGCCTACCCTCAGTACTCGATGGAGTCTCAGTTATGCCAAGTGAAAGCCATGCTGTAAAATGAAGCATGATACCTAACATAGTAGAAAAAAAAAAGATTTGGGGTTTACATACACTTTAAACCACAGAAGTCAATAAGATCCTATCTTACCTTGACTTAGAATGAGATAGCAAAGGGCGTCCAATGTTTTAATCCCTCATGGCATTTTAAATATTCTCAACTTCACTATGTTGCCATGAGGTGACCAAATGTAAGAGGTAGCTAGCATCCCTTTTAGGGTGGGGCTCTGTCCTGATCCATCCAGTTTTGGCCAGTTCTTTTGCTTTGCCCCTGCAGGGTATACATACTGAAGGTTGAGCTGTTAATGGGGTGGTCTGGGAAGAGTAGAACCAAGGAGAACTCCAGTAGATGGTGGTAAGAGAACCATGTGTCTTCCCTTCAGCGGACCCCAGTTCCTGGTTATGTGGGAGATTAATTCTGTGAGTGCAGCTTATGGAAAATGACTGAGAAGTTCAGATTTGAATGCTTTGTCATTACTTGGACCATTTAAGGCCTCTTTACCATTTAGTAAATAAAGCATAAAAGCAAGTATCTTGACTGAACATTCCATTGTGGGAGGCCTGGGATGAGTACGAAGCCTGGCATAACGAGAAGGCACTTTGAACCCTTGTGGGGTCTGGTGTACAGAGAGAGGAGATGTACTGGTGTCCTTCATGTGGCCCTCAGGGTGCCAAATCTGTGAGTCCTGGGATTTAAGAGAGTCTCTGTACAGATGCAAAAGAACCAGGTGAAGCACTCAAGGATTTTGAGGTTGCTGCTGTTTCGAGCCACATGGCTGTTCAAATCCGGGACCCTGGAAGTTGCAATATGGTGATGAGGTCACCAGCTACAAGGTAGTGGGGACCCTACTTCTGAATCCCACGATCTGCAGTAGGCTTCCTGGCTCAAGAAATGCTTTATCAAATGCTGCAACGAGGTGCTACACAATCCACCACCATCTTGGTGACTGTACACCTTACATTTAATAACTAAAAATTGGTCTCTCATTGATTCTCCTCTGAGCTACAGCTGAGGAATAGAGTGAAGTTCTGAAGGGCTTCTATTCTTTCTTGATTTCTACCATCCTTTATGGCTGGCTAAGTTTACACAATTTCTTCAACATTGAAAATGGGGGAAAATATGTTTGGAAAGACCATCTTCTAGCTATTGATACAAAAGCCTGTGGTTATCTAAGCAGGATATCTGTCCTGTCCTGATAATGTTTTGGGCAATAAAACACAGAAGGAGAGAAAATAGACTGCACACCTAATCGGCTAACCTCGAATTAAGTGTATTGTGCATCAATCACATGAAAAATAACATCGGAGATACGACATGTAATCCAACATCCACTGCGTCTGACCTACCCTGATGTTGTACCCATAAGATCCAGTCCCGACCAACCACTCCCACCAAACCCTCCAAAAACCCACAATGTACCCCCTCAGAAGGAACACCCACCCATCCTATCACCCCCTTCCCAGAGGAGGAAGAGGAGCCAAACCCCCCAAAAACCCACAATGTACCCCCTCAGAAGGAACACCCATCCATCCTATCACCCCCTTCCCAGAGGAGGAAGAGGAGCTGAAGGGAAAAAAACTGTTTTGTTTTGGGCAACCTGATAGTTCTGCACTGTATAGAGATCATTATTGGACTTTGTCATTATTTCGTGTCCTATCTACAGCATACGCCTGTAAGATATGTTTTTCTTATTCTGATAATTGAAATAAAATTAATATTTAAAAAAAAACCTGATGATTGCTGATTTTATATAGAGTCCTTATGGCTAGACCAACAGGCATATGGGTGACACAGGAAGTCGTAAAGGCACACCATGGATGAATGATAGTGTCACCATCCTGGCTATGTGGTGTGCAGGGATGTGTGAATCCAGGGGCGGACTGACCATTTGGAAACTTGGGCACTGCTCGAGGGCCCGGGGTCAGTAGGGGACCCATGAGATGCCCCTGGTACCTTTTTCCTAGGCTTTTTTGGGTTTGGGCAAGGACACAGGGACCCCATGATCCCCTATTGCCCGGGGGCCCCATGAGTTGTCAGTCCGCCCCTGTGTAAATCGCAAGAGAATTACAAATATATCAGCATGTAAACCAGCCAATGTATCTGTATTTAAAAGCATGTGTGTGAGAGAAACCTTTGGTTGAAGCTGCCACCTTCTGACCATACATCTGGGTGCAATGAAAGCATACTATAGCAATTTTTGTCACCGTTCTTCTTCATTTCCTTTACTACATCTGCATTACATCCAAATGGAGCTGACCGATGCAGTAAAATACTAAACTAATTTGGGAAAGAAGGTGGCGAGGTCCTCTACTCGGTGGGAATTTGGAGGCACAAATTGTGAATTGATAACCAGGGGCGGACTGACCATTCGGGCACTGCCTGAGGGCCCAGGGTCAGTAGGGGGCCCCATGAGATGCCCCTGGAACCTTTCATAGGCTCTTTGGGTGTGGTTTGAGTGTGGGCAAAGGACACAGGGGCCCCATGATCCCCTATTGCACGGGGGCCCCATGAGTTGTCAGTCTGCCCCTGTTAATAACTAATAAGTCAACCATTAAAACCCAACACTCGGTTTTATTTATACAATCTTAAAAAAGACATGACACATTGAAATCCATGAATTATAGCGGTGATTGTCAGAGGATGTATAACTTAATACTGAAGGTGGAAAATTGGTCATGCAAATTTTGCGCTGACACGTTTCGAGACCAATCGTCGTCTCTTCCTCAGAGATGCTCAAAGAGGCATGATGCCTGTAACAAGCATACATATTAATATACATCTTTATTTATACAAAGTCATTTCAAAAGGATTGAAATATAATAAAACACTTACATAGCCCCATATACGGCAGCACAATGGCTCAGTGGTTAGCACTCTGTCTGGTATGCTTGCCTTGGGATCGGAGGACCACAAGCAGAGATTAAAGAACAGAGAAGGACCCCGTG